CCAATTTCAAGGTGTTTAGAAAGTCAAATTACTGTTGATTTATACATATAATAAACATCATTTTTACTGTATAAGAACTGAAAGTGACATATTATCTTTATCCTGATAAAGAATTGAACCATATGCCTAAGCAACACATAATACTGGCCCTTTAAGATAAAGCGGTTTTCACTAAAAAAGACAAAACAATTCTTGTAACTATGCTGTGGGTGTTTGTGTAATAAAGCCACAGAGTTCTGAAAGTAAAACCAGTAGGGCATTTTAAATGCTTTTTTTTTTTTTTTTGCGTGTGTGGGTTAACGTTTTTAAATACTGCAAGAACAAAAAACGTCTTTAAATTCAGCTTTACGCCTGCGTATTTGGATGATGCACCTGCCAAACGTCATGTCTTGATCTCCATTGACACACAAACAGACACAAACAGAAGGTCTGTCAAAGCAGTGAGGTGAGTGAKTGGCTGATCTGAGTGTGATTTGTAACACTGTCAGAGAGACAGACAGTGAGTGAGAAAAGTCTTAATGTGGCCGTGAGGGAACAACGGGATCTGGATTTGAAAAGAAAATTGGTTGAAGTTGACTTAAAACTGACTGAGTGTAATGAAAGATTTTAGCTGCATTATAKTATCTCTGTTTGAAAGTTACCATGCCTGTTGTTTAAAATGCAATTTTGTTTTTTAAAAGCAGTTTGGGAAATGTGCACACTGCTTGCACAAAGTGTTTTAGCAAATAGTGAGCTTCATGTAAACAGCTGGAAACAGACCTGGCTCAGAGCTTTAAGTTGTAACTTTTTTCTTGTTGATTTAAGGCTCTCAGAAAGCAAGTTGTGACCACGAGAAGTTATCCTGAGGAAACGAATGTATGACATCATTGTGACTCTTTWGGAAGATTGGAAGGAAAAACAAAATGCACATATTTCACCCTTAGATAAATTATGGTTGATTTTTGCTCACACTTKCAGTCTTTATGATAAACAAACTGTTTTTTTTCTTAGCTTCATAACCAGCTGGCAAGAAATCAACAATGTAAGTAGGATGGCCACCAGAACTAATTAACTTAAGCAAACACAAACATGGCTATACCTCTGTTAATTCTAAAGATATCAAGCTACAAATAGATGTGATTGTAACTGGAATTAATCCACAGTTCATACTTTGAGCGCTAACC